CTGTCACTGGGCGCCTGCTGCCTGGCGCTGCTGCAGATATTCCGCTCCAAGAAGTTCCCGTCGGACAAGCTGGAGCGGCTGTACCAGCGCTACTTTTTCCGTCTGAACCAGAGCAGCCTCACCATGCTCATGGCCGTGCTGGTGCTGGTGTGCCTCGTCATGTTGGCCTTCCACGCGGCGCGGCCACCGCTCCAGGTGCCCTACCTGTCCGTGCTGGCGGCCGCCGTGGGCGCGATCCTCGTGATGGCCGTGCTCTGCAACCGCGCCGCCTTCCACCAGGACCACATGGGCCTGGCCTGCTATGCGCTGATTGCGGTGGTGCTGGTGGTCCAGGTGGTGGGCCTGCTGCTGCCCCAGCCGCGCAGCGCCTCGGAGGGCATCTGGTGGACCGTGTTCTTCATCTACACCATCTACACGCTGCTGCCCGTGCGCATGCGGGCCGCGGTGCTCAGCGGGGTACTCCTGTCTGCCCTCCACTTGGCGATTGCCCTGCACACCAACGCCCAGGACCAGTTCCTGCTCAAGCAGGTAAGGGCCCACCTGGCCGCAGGGACTGCATTGTGGGGCCAGCAGGCCAGACATCCCACCCTCACCCTTCTAAAGTGGCAAAAGGGGCAGAGACATGGCTGTGTCATCTGTGTGGTGTCTTCCAGCCCCTTAACCCGCTCTCAGCCCCAGCATTTTCATTTGAAAGGAGTGCCTTGCATTATATGTAATGTTCCTGGCGCCGCAGCAACACGCACTAAACCATAGCCATTATTGTCGAGATGAGAATGAGGAAGGATTTGGAGCAGTCCCCTTCTCTTCCTGTGCTTCTGTCCCTGTATGTGTAGAAAGGCCCCTGACACAAGTGGCTGGACCCTATAGCAGATTCCCCCTCCCAGAGCTACTGTTGGTTTGTTGACGGAGCCCTGGATAAAGGGCTGGGGAGAGCAGACCGTGGGCACCCTTTGCCCAGTCTTAAGCAACAGGAATGATAACCTTGCCAGTTGTCTGAGGCTGGGGCTGACAAGTTGTTTCGTTTACAAAAGTGCCCCAAGCCAAAAAGCTGCTGCCAGCAAAGGTAGGAAGGTGCTTCTGAGATGTGTGGTGGCAGGCCCCCTGTTTGCCTGAGCAGAAAGCTAATGTTGGATATCGTGACCCCTTCTTATTGATGTTTCTGGTTCTTGCCTGTGGTGGGTTTTGTGTGTGTGTGTGTGTGTGTGTGTGTGTGTGTGTTTTATCCCTGCTGGGACTGGTTGGGTGAATTTAGAACAGTGAGACATGGGAGAAAATAAAACTTTGTTAACTGGTGACTCCACTGAAGGGTTTTGAGAGAGAGGAATACTTGCCATCCTGCCCTCAGGGTGAGACCAGTGCCTCCGATGGGCACACCTTCTCCTTTTAGCAGTCCCCTTGTCTGTGGCTCCATGGACCTCATCCACTGACCCTGCTGAGCCTGCTGGTTTGCATTTAGCTCAACTGTGAGAGAGTCAAGCGGGCCCGTGTTGTAGGCTAGCAGTCTCTTGACCACGGTGCCCACTGCAACCCTCTGAGGCTGTTTGCCGTCTCTAGAGAACCTCTTAACTATATTCCACTGTCATTGCCTTCCTCCTCCCCAACTCTGATGCCTTTCTCAGACTTTGATCCTGTTGAGGGCGAACTCTTTCTCGAGGGGTGTTCCTGTGCCCACTGACTCTCACCCAGGGAATAGCACCGGCATGCACTCCAGGGCTCTCGGCTCTAGCTGCACTTCCAAAGTGCTCCATGGCTGGAAAAGAGGGGACCCACAAGCTCTCTGGGCCTCAGGTTCCTTTTTGAGAGAATGAGAGGCTCCTTTACTGTTCCACCCTCCTCTGTCCCAGCCCTCACCTGCGAGGGGCCCTCTCCTTCCATTCCAGCTGCACTGGCCTCTCCCTCTTCTGCATGGTAACAATGGAGTCAGAGCCACAGAGGGGAGCACTTACTGTTCTCCAGGCTCCGTTGGTTTTGCTTCTCATTCAATGTGAGCCCCTTGGACTCAGGAATCCTGAATTGTATGGGTTTTTCCTCTTCTACCCTCTCTTGTCTAGCACAGTGCAGGGTACTTAGGAGGGATTTAATAACTGTTGCCAGTTTGGTTGGGTTCCAATGAGTGGAGTAGGTGGGGTTGTTTAATGCTAAGTTGAAGTTTTTCTGATCTGGCATCAGAAGAAAAACTTTAGACATCAGCTTTGAACTTGAGAGAAACCTATTTGAGAGATGATGGTTTAAAAAAATTAACTATTACTGTTAGTGCTTTAAAGGCTTCAGCTACTTTGACCTGAGGACTCGAGCTGTCACATGGGTGTTGCATCTTTGGGGGTTGTTCCTGGCTTGGATGGGTGTAGCTTTTCTGCAGGGGGAAGGGCATGTCATCCACACAGAGCGGTAGAGATTTCCAGGATCGTTTAGACCAGACTGGGAGGCAGGGTCTGATTACAGCCGTAGCAATCCTGCATGTATGATTTCCAGAGATTGGAGTCAGACCCCAGGGAGAGAGTGCTGAACCTGAGGGACTCCAGCTCCATGTGAGCATGAACATGTCATTGCAGCATCAGTGCCTGGCTTCCCCTGCTAGTTCCTCAGGCCAGTTCCTCTTTTCTTCTCCCCATCTCTACCAGTCCCCCACCCCCGCCTGTTTTACCCACTGTGGCCTTTAGACCTTTGCTTGGGTGTAGGCTTTTTGGCGGATTTACACTTAACTTCTCAAGATCTCCCTTGAGCATAGCAGAGCTTGTTAGGAATGGTCCCCTACAAGGGAATGCAACTGCTATTTCTTTTTGGCTTCAGAGAAAACTGTATCCTTTTGTTTGTATTTGATTTACCTTTTTGATTGTGTCTGATGTAAAATTTTTATTTCTTGAGCAACGGTGGGAAAATATAAGTGGGACAGTCCAGCATTAACGTCTGCCTCAGGTTACCCCAGAGTGGCAGGCAGTTGAGGATGGCTTGGGTTAGATGCCATCCCTCCTAAGTACCCTGTACTGTGCTAGACAAGAGATGGTAGAAGAGGGAAAACCCCTGTAATTCAGGATTCCTCCGTCCAAGGGACTTACACGCTCATTTCTTTGATGAGGACCCTGGTCCAGGGACATGGGGCAGCAGTATCGTGGGCACCCAGTAGACCCTCAGGAAACTATTGGCATTTCTTCACTTCTCTTCCTGCGAGGCTGGCCCCCTCGGACCCTGGTACTTTATTCTTCCCCAGCCCCTCGTATGTTTGGAGCTCTGCCCTTTGCTCCAATTAGGAGGAGAAAACATTTGGTTTCTTAACAGGTGCCTTCTGATGGATTTTACTTAGAGAGGATGGAGAGGCAAGGTGGGGCAGTCCTCTTTGGGGGATGATGTTTTTTCTTCTCTTCATGACATCTCTGGCTCTCGCTCTTCCCCTGGTGTCCTCCTGCCCCCCCTCTGCTCTTCCTCTCGCACTTCCTCTCTCTCCCCTCCCCCTCCATTCCCCTGTTGCTCTCTGTCCACCTCTCCTCTGCTTGCCTGCCTGCTCTTCTCCATCTCTTACTCGCCATCTGCAGCCTCTCAGCCTCTCCTTCTGTGCTCTTGTCTCACTGTGGTCTCCTCAGTGGAGTACAGTAGGAGCGTCACAGGGTTGTTTTTTTCTCCTTCTTTGCGTGTTACAAGTCCCTCTGCTACACCCATACCATAAATAACACTCGAGCATCTGCCAAACACATTCCTCACTTGTGTTAATAGGCTGTGATGATGCTGGAGCCTGTTGCCATGGCAACCTCATTTTTGTTTGACTGTATCCCACTCTGCTACATAAAGCTCTGCGTGCACTCACACACAAACAGGCACGCTCACACAACTATTACATATGCTGAGCTATTAAAGGTTATTTTGGAGAAAAATCTCTGAGCCTTGTGAGGGTGGGTGGTCATTTTGCCAAGGAGAGGAGCGTTTTCCACTGTCTGGTGTTACTTTAGGAGGTGATAATGGATGGAAGAGCTCTTTGAAAAGTAGAGAGTTCTGTTCAAAGTGGGGTATTATTATTCTGCAGCCACATTAAACCTGCCTGAGGGACCCCATGTGGGTCCTGTGAGCGTGGAAGAGCTGTTAGAGGAGGTTGCCCGGGAGAGCTGTTGGAGGCTGTCCTTGCAGTGTGGGATGGCCCATCCTCCACCCAGCCTCCCTGCAGCTCCTCCTTCTCTTCCCTCTAACCCTTTTGGAGAAACTTAGTGATTTTCTGCATTTCATCCTTGGTGCCTGTTTGAACCCACAACTGTCACCAGTTGTTCAAGATATCAGAAAGGCACAGGCACTGTGTGGGTGATGTCTGTGACTGTGTGAGTGCCTGCAGGGAGGAGGCTGGGAATGGATGGGGGTGGGAGCCGACTGCTGTGGTTGCCAAGGGGTGGGTACGGGTGTGCGTGTGTGCATGTGTGCGTGTGGGTATGTCTCTGGTGTGGGCTGGCCACAGATAGTGGATGCGTGTTATGCAGATGTGTCTATCACGTGGGCTGGCCCCGGGGTGTGTGTGTCTGACTGTTCCATGGCTGGCCCAGGTGATGGAGGTCGGCCTGGGAAACCTTTGTGTTGACTTTGAAAGGAGATCATTGCAGCTCTGTCCTGTTTATTCTTGGCTGGTGAGTGGCTTCCTGTGGCTGCTTGCCTTTCTGATTCTGGGCCTTGAACGCCCTTCTGACCTTGACCTCTGACTTCTTAGGGAAGTACCTTGGATGCACCCCCCTTTCCATAATGAGGCCAGGGGCTAGACTTGAGTGGTTAGCTCCCCTGACCCATGGAGTCCCCCCTTTCCCTTTCAGACACCTTTTCTGTTACTCACCGCTCAGCTGCCCAGTGAGCTCCACTGAAGGGCTGCCTCCTGGTTCTGGAACTTGGCCCTGAGGCCTGTTTGGTGGGTCATTGTGGCTGCCCCATGTGTGCTCCTGGCAACCACTGCCTGGCTGACCGCCTGGGTGGTGCGGAGGGGGACACACTTCAACTGCAACCACAGGGAACTGGGAATGGCCTGCTGCCAATTACTTCCCCAACACCCGAATTCCTGGACAGAGAAATCGGCCTTTGTGAACCCCAGCAGCACAGCAGGTTGGGGTGGGGGTTGGTGCTGCTTTTGCAGCTGAGGAGGGTCTCCTTGTCTTGCCTCAAGGCTAATTGTATTTGCCAATTAGTTTTGCTAATTGCTTTCGATTAAGTTGCCTCCTCTATGGGTGGGAAGGGGGTGCTTAGAGGGGAACAGAAGCCTCTGGGGGTGGGGGTTGAGCAGGCTTCTAGGGGGGGGGTCATTTCCTAGACCCCAGGGATGCCTCTATTCCTGTGAGGAGGACTGCGGGAATAGCAGAGACCCAGCGAGGAGCAGAGTGATCAGCTGCTGTATTTGCAGAATGTTCACTGTTAATAATTCAATGTAAGTTTTGATCTGAAGCAAGAGCAGGAGATCTATGTTTTGTGGAACATAGAACAGTATGCTCATGTTCCTGTACAGAGAAGACACAGACGGTGTCTTAAACCCCATCACGGAGACCTGCCCAGCCTCTCAGAAGTGCTAAAAA